AACTATTTAAAGATGTTAAATTAAGGCTGGATAGAATTTCTAGATTAATCTCGAGGTTGAGTGTCGAGACTCGTAACAACACTCGGCAGTGCTTTAGGTTATTGTGAGAAATGAAATATATCTTTCAGTAAAGCACTTTTGGTTAAGAGAGGTATCCTTAATGGAAACAGTATACGATTGCCATTTATGTTCTCATTTTACATCATCAAATTTAAAATCAACGGAAATGAAAGACATCGTCCTTCATGCAAAATTTATCTGAACCAATCCAAACGCTTTAAGGGAATATTGAACTTATGAAGGATATTATGCTTTAAAGAGTGGATACTCACTCTTAGCTTGTGTCTATTGATTTCCTAATTGGAGTGAAAAAAGCTCCAACATATGCAATGGCACCTGCATGCTGGAAAAAATAATTTCCTTTGATCAAAATGCTCGGAAGGAGAATTGATTCAATCAGGACACCTTTAATTGCTATTTTTATACTTTGATGTTTTCCTTGGCGCAGCCGGACAGTTCGAAAATTTGTTGCAGCAAACATCGTTCCCTCATAGATTACCGGACTGTGAAAGTTTGAACGATCAAGTTTGTAATTAATGGTAAGAGTTTTCAAATGATGAAAGAAAAGTATTTCTTAGATCTTGATAAATAATTTAAAGTTAGGTTTTTATTGGCTTGATGAGAGATTTTGAGTAATTATTGTAGGAGTCGCACGACACAAGAGAGTATTTATCACGCTTGGCGTGGTTGTATATAATCTGTATTTCTTTGTCGCTTGTATAATTTGTTTTGCTTGCTATGAAAGGTTAAAATTTTCAACGTCTTGAAATTTAAAGTAAATTTCCCAGTTAGATGTCTGTGAGTGCAGCTGACTACACCGAACACAGATAGGCGTTGCATATGATTAAAGCCTTTGAATACAATGATTTTCCGTGCGTGCTTGATATTTTGAAGCTTCGTGTAACATGAACGCTAACTAGCCGAATTCAGGGAAATAAGTTTATTTAACTAAAACAGGTGAGTTTGGTCTCGATCTTTCAGCTTCAGAAATTAAGTGCCCTTGATATTCAATGGCATTGAGATATCAATTACCGCCGATATCTTTGGAAACCCGCTTTTGGTCAAGGAAACCAGGTTTTGCTTTATTAACCGACTCTGTTAGAGTGGCGGATACATCACTGCACATAACGAGGAAAAGCCCTAGAAGATTAGTGGGCAGTTAGTGTTTTTAGTGTGATTGGTTAGAAAAAGAGATTTAACTTATTTCCAAATGAATTTTCTAACCAATGTGATTGGTTAGAAAAAGAGATGTAATATATTTCAAAATGAATATTCAATTTTTATTTGGTAAACTCGACGCAACTCACTCCTCTTGATACACAATGGAGTTTCCAATAAATGTGGCATAAAAATCCCTAACTATGAGATCGCCTTTCGTAATTGCAATTGATTATGCTTTTCCTTTTTGATCGCCATAGCTAGCATTTCCAAATGCCAATTTCATACCCACGAAAATTGCCGTCTTTCTTTTTCGTGCACTTGATTTTTATTGTCTAGTATTAAAAATTTAAGGCCTCTCCAGGAAAGGAATTGCATCGCCAGAGGGGCAGCTTAAAGACACAACATCAATCCTTTTTTCTTTTTTCGTATTATGAAAATTTTCCTAGTGAATTATAATTTAGAAAAATGGCATCAATAAAATAGGCGTCACAATGATCAGTTCCTTTTTGTATTTTTTTTTCTCGCTACGTTTTCTTCTTGTTTCAATTTTCAAACAGCTCTATGTCATCAAATGATTGGACTGAGCCATACCCAAGGTCAGAGCAGAATCCAAAGGAAATTCTTTCTCCTTCAGTTTTAAAACAAGCCACCTTCCCTTCTGAGGTTTTAATCAGCAGCTAGACCAAACATGCATTTTAGTCAATAATTTGATATTTGTCGCGTTGAATGCCCCGTTGCATTCGGAGCAAAAGAGTCAGAAGAAAGTTTTTCTAATATCATCTATATACAGCGAGGGTTTTGTGAGCAGTTTTGACAATCTGAAACAGATACTAAGACAACATGATAACCTCTTCTTGCCCAAAACTTGCTGAAATAGAAAGATGACAGGCGCCTTGCTGACAGTTCGGAAAAAATACACTTTGACTCGACACCCGGTGTTGGGCTTAAAAATCTATATTCGTGCATGGCGGGTAAGACTTAAGCCGGATAATTTCTTCGTCTTGCCTAGCGTCGGCGCAAAATTATAGGTTTTTCGTCTCTCGTGGGAGCATACTCAAAAGGTTCATAAAAAAAAATTCACATTTGGTGACAGAATGGTAAAGTCATGGCCTTAACTTAATCAGATCTTGTTCGCACACTCAGTTTACGGATTCAGGAAGCTTGTTTTACGCGAGAGAAAAATTACCTCCAGGAAATAAAAAGATGTATTATTTCAAACTTTATTTGAAGAAGAAAATAAGTACGTTTAGCAAATTTGTAATCAATTGCGTCTGTGTTTATTTTGATAGGGGCGAAATATTATCTCATGATTGCTTGCTATAAGAGGTTTTCTCCAGTTCTACTTTCATTTCCACAAAAGGTTTCCTTTCTTATGATGGACGAGTAAACTCAAAAAAGATAAAATATGAAGAGACATATTTACCCACGGTGACGGATTGGAGGCAACTGTATCCAACATGTATAAGTGAAGAGCTTTCATCTTCAATATGTATTGACCCAGTGTTTTTAATTGTGACAAGCTAAAGTAAAATTGAAAAGGAAATAATATAAAATTCATTTCGATAGTTTTTTACCTCGAAATCCTTTATTAAGAAGTAATTTCGACGGATGGCAGTTTTACGCGGTGAAACTCTTTATTCGTACATAATTCGAGGATTTATTCACGTACCGCTATGTCGGTGACTTACGACGATAAACACATTACTAAGTAAATAGATATAGAGATTTCTTTAGTAGCCATCGTGCGGAGGAGGACACTTTTTATAAGGTATACGTCTCTTTTACAGTACTTGGTAATACAGACGGTAAACCCCCGAAGTAATAAAGTTTAAAAGGGGGAACATGTCAAAATTATCCCATAAAATCAACTGCTTCCGCTTTAGGAACCGGCATTTATTGTAAGATAGACGTAAATTTCGAGTATCTAAAGCTAATTCATACATTGATATTAGCTCTAGTGCCCTCTGCTGTGGAGCGTTTTACTCAGCGAGATTGTGAACGTGGAAAACGGAATCAACAAGCCCAGAATCTGTGTTCCTTTTTGAGGTAAATTACTTGCATTCTGAAATATTCTTAAGTAAAGTCTAACATTTGAATTATCGATCAACTAATGCACCATAAAATGAACGTTCAAATTTTCAAAACAAGTTACCGGCGATGGAGAGACTTTTGACAGCGTATGATTGATAAAAAAAAAAAAAAAGTGTAACACTGATTATGCTCAGAGCTGGATATGGAGAAACACGACAAAAAAATTATAGCAGCTATATGATGTTAAAAGAAGTCGTTATTCTGAGCTAGAGTGCTTTAGCCAGATAATCATCCCTTACTTTCATTTCTCCTTGTCGAAAGCAAGATATCTGCAAATTTGCTGTTACCGATGGTGATATTTGAGGGTTTTTAAACATAGGCAAGTATCCAACGTCTTATTTTATTTCGTAATCAATATTAATGCCTTGTATAGAGAAATGACTTTGTAGGGTTTCAAGACTTCAATAGAAAACCGCAAAAAAGATAGTTACTTCAAAACAGCCTGCGGAAAAGAGAAATTACTCTCTGTATGTAATTATAAGCATCACACGTCCCCTAAATATTGAGAAAAGACAACTAAGAACTTATTTTTTCAGTTAACAGCAGGAGACTTAAACATAAATCCAGATGGTCTGTCTCAATGCACTTTAAGGGTAAACTAAGGTTAACTCGCAGAGATGAGTCGTTAATGGAAGAGTGCAAGAAGGCGAAAGCTTGGCAATTCACTAAAAATTCATCGGCAGAAAGAAACCCAACATGTCCAAATCAGATCATTTAGCTCCGTTCGTAAATAAACAGGACTGACTGCTAGCGCGTCATTAGCTCATCAAAGTCGAGAACCTAGGATTCTGACCCGCTGAGGTGATTCAGGAAAAAAACATTCAACTAAACCTCACTCTAAAGTTAATAATCGTTCTTCATGGTTAGTATTTTCACACTCCTTAAATGGTTTTCTACCGACTCAGTGATAAAGAATTTAAAATCATTTTTTTTATATATATATATGCTTCGACAATTTTATGTTAAACAATTGGATATCATAATATGAAACGTTCTCTTTTAACAAAAGTGCTTGAAGTAAACAAATGTCGCTTTTTTATTTAAAGTCGTCCTATAATTAACACGTCATCTTTTGTTCAAAAGAAAAAGCTATTTCACAGGATAATTAAAATGTTAATTTTGAATTAAAGTTCGCTTTGATCTCCTTCATGATCTCAACATGATTTTTTTCATTTTTTAAATAATTTTTTGGCTTACTTTTGATTGGACAGTGTTGTTATGTATTAGAAAACAAGCCGAATGAGGCCTTTTTTTTGCAATAAAGACATCTCCACAATTTCGTGATGTTCCTTACTGTCACTTGAAGATTTTCAGGTGCATGTCAAAGAAGGTGTTCTGTGTTTCAATTTGACCGTAAGCTGTCAGTTTTGTATCAACTTTCTTTCGAAAACACCTCATTTGTAATGCTGAATGCATTTGGAGAAAATTGATTAGTGAGGCAATAAGTATTGGGGTCTGACCAAACTGAAAAATGACACGGAAAAACTTCATAGGTAAAACAAAAATTCATTTTTAAAGCAGAGCATAAAAACAGTTTTTCTCATTGTGAGAAACAAAAAGACAACATTGACAAATCCAAATGTTAAATAAATTATTCATGCTGGTTTGATTCTGTTCGGTGAGTTTGCAGGTGCACGAAAACTGCATAATAATACCCTAAACAGATATCTATTAGATTAGTTTTTTATGAATATTCAACTTGAACATTTCAGTTTTGCATGATAGGGTATATGGCCAATTAAACTTCAGGCATCAGAAACCTGACGCTACCTTTCCTTAACTTTTAGCGCTAAAGTTTTCGGGTATGAAAACAGTGTAACATATTTCATAAAGCTTACCATGTTTTAACTGGCTATAATTTTCAAACGTTTCCCCAAAATCCACAATTGTGTTATCACACTGACAGCATTTGCTTGTTGCGTAGATTATCATTTGTTTACAGCTTTATGCATCTTTCAATTTTTCAGGAAAAAAAGACAGTTTGACGCAGAAAAGACTTACTCCCGAGTCTCCACGCAAGCTGATGTATTGCTACGCTTTTAATTACCTCTTCCTGTGTCTTTCAGTCTGGAGAGGCCTACGCAACATACATGCAAGCACAAGAGAAAGCAAGTAGCTTTTGGTGTTTGTGGAATTTTTTTTCTCCTTTTTTTTTTTTTTTTAATAAAAAAAGAGTATTACACTCTGTATGTATCGTTACTTAGACAACCTTATTCCATGTCATTTACTCCATCCTTGATCCGGTTAGATTCAGAGAGTTGGGCGCATTTTAGAGATATCAAAAACTTAGGCATAGTATTTACCGCACTGTACGAGTCTTCAAATCTATTACGTTCTTCATTTTAAGCCATAAAATTTCGTTTCATCCATCGCATTTCCCGGTAAATCTTCTTTAATTTAACTGCCAATGGATTGCGAAATAATTTTTTCGAAACGGATTTACAATCAACGAAAAATCGTTGGTTAAGCTATAGCTAACATTAGCATGGAATGCTCGATGTCGTTTAGAAAAAGTCTTGAATCGATCAATTTTTAGTTGATTAAGGTTTTTTTTATTATGCAATAAATATATTGCTCAAGCCGTATAACAATCCAGTCTATGTGCTTGAAAAATTAATGCTTCAGTCAAACCATACTTAGAAATCAACGCAAAAAATCAATTTTTAACGGGTCTTGGGTATCTCCCTACTAAAGTCAGGAAGCATTTCCCGGCGAGAATTCAGAATTACATTTATTGCTTGTAACACTTTGACCTCAATTTTCTTTTTCCTTTTTGTTTTTTGGATTCTAATGTTCTTTTGCATAGACATCTTACGTACGTAGCGGGTCCGAGCGCGGTGTACTTTTTATTTCCGTGAAATTTAGCCCTCTTGGCCTTTTCAACGTACACGTAAAAGAATAGCAATCATGTCTGCCATCATCAAACAGGTCTACAGTATATCATCTTTTCTTTTAGAGATCCAAAATGATTATCTATATCAAGAGGGTACAAAAGGAAGATGTCGTTTCCTCTGCTTGGATTTTAATAGGTTACGATACTTTGTTACTCATGGAGCTCAGCTTAAGTTTTGAACATACAGACGTGGAATGAACATTTACATGCATACGTGCATTTATATGCATGTACAATCAATCCCTTGATTAAAACTTAAACGGAATATTTGCATGTGCTGTCCCTTAATTGAAACGTCATTCGCAGGTGCAGCTAATCTTTATTTAGGATTTTCTGGACTTTTACTTTTAAGGTATTGCGTGCTCTTTTGACGCCGGCTTATGTGGTTGGCAACAGTCTTCAAAAGACAACTTTGATTGGACCCTGCAGTCTGGGCAGACTCCTACTGAAGATACTGGGCCAAGTAACGGAGATCACACGACGGGAAAAGGTAAAGGAAGTATCCGAGTAACCAAAGAGAGCTCGCAGCAAAAAAAAAAAAAAAAAAGTCACAATACTGGAGGCAAAGAAAGTTCGAGAGACTTAGTTGCGATCGGTTTTACACTTGATTGATTGAGAAGGTGGCGCGAATGATCTTCATCTTGATCATCCACCAAGACCAATACAGCTACAGAATATCATCGACTATCAAATAAAAAATTTTCTTAACGCATGGAATATTTATGTTTTTTGTTTGTTTGTCTGTTTGTTTGTTTTTTTTTTTGCAGGGAAATATCTTTTTACTGAGGCTGACTACCCCAGAAAGAAAAATGACTTTGCTCAGCTTATTTCACCGTCTTTTTCGGGTGCTTTTTGTCTCTCCTTCTTTTATAACATGCATGGAGCTGCCATGGGTAACTTACGGTTATCAGTTGATGACAGAAATGTGTTTGAAATAAGTGGAGAGCAAGGATCTGACTGGATACAAGCCCAAGTATTCGTAAATGGATCAAACAGCAAGGTAATGGCTTTAAATGAGTCCATAGGTTAAAGTAAATGATGACTTCCAGATGACTGAGATTGGGTTGTTGTTCGACTATTAAAAGAAATGAAAACAAACACCATTTGCAAACACTTCGAACTGATACACCATGGTAACTTAAAAATAAAGTAAAAAAAAGTAAAAGTAAAAATCCTGATTCAAGGCTGTCAAATATGAAAACGCGGGAAAGTCATGTACTGAAGAAAATTGAATCAGCAACTTTGTTGGCTTAGCCTTTGAAAAGCACTGCGCAAGAACATTCGGAGAGAAACTGAAGCGTGGTTTGATAGGGATTGATGTGCTACATAATTTTACACACCGAAAGATAGATTGACTTTGTCTCTATGGGAGAAACTTTCCGTAACACTTACTTATCCCGCATAGATATTACGGTTCTCTTTTCTATAGCAATACATACATCAGAACCCGATCGTTGTCGTTCTAAGATGCACAAAATTATGTTTCAGCTAACTTTTGAAGGGAGGATGGGCGCTGGGGACCAGGGAGATCTTTCACTGGACGACGTATCCGTAACAGGTTTTTGCAATGGTACGACATAACGTACGGTTTCTCTGTGTGTTACAGATACCAATATCTCAAGGGACGGTTTAAATCGTGTTTCTTTCCTTAGCTGATACGTACTGTAAGGCAAGAGAAAAGCAGAGCTAATTTTTTGGTTAGTCTAAAGGTTATTCAACAAACGGTACAATCGAAATTGTCTATCCATAACCTTTGTAAGCCGGAGTGGAACTACTTGCACATGGTGTGAATGATATATTTTCGCTTTCTTCTAACAGAGCCTGTTTTTTAGTTCGGATAAGTTGGTAAAATCAATTTCAATTCTGCCGTCTGCCGTGTTGCGCTTATACGCTCTCATTAATATCTCCTCGTCCTTTTAACAGTTTCTTCCTGCTCAATAATTCCAATTCCTCCCAACGGAACTGCAATATGCTCCAATGGAAATCTAGTGGGAAGTCATTGTAACGTAACATGCGTTGCAGGGTACTATCGAACTGGTTCCTCTACAAGAACATGCATGAGGTCAGGAGCCTGGTCTGGCACTCTACCCTCCTGTGTGAGAAGTAAGGTTTTAATAATTGAAGATTATTTCACCCACTTAATATATCACTTACAATTTAATAAAAAAAAAAAGGATTTTGGACTCAGAAAAATTAGGGGTGGATAACGCTATCCAGTGGCGGTATCTAGGCCCAGTTGTTCAAAGAGCGAATAATATTATCCAGCAGATAAATCGCTATTCAGTGGATAAATCGCTATCCAGTGGATAAGTGTTTACAAAACTTAATGCGCTATCTAACGAATAGAGATTTTTACAGTAGATAGCGATATCCACCGTTGAAACAACCGGATTCATGTGGATAGAGCAGTAGGTTTTGTTAAAACTTATCCACTGGATAGCAATTTATCCATTGGCTAGCGTTATCTTCCCCTTAAATAACTTGCATACATGCCATGAACTGCGTTAAACTTATTGTATGTGAATTTCAATGTTAAGCTCATTCTAAGTAATAGAAATGCAATCGCAATTTTTTTGATGACTCAGACACTGCAAATGGGAAAAAAATGGAAAAAATTCACAGTTGCAATCAGTTCTTGCCTCTTTTAAGGTCTTATCAAAAGGTAGCCTATTGTGGTAGAGAAAATGTTTGTCTGTCGGTTCGGTGTTATTTGCGTTACCTGGAATGGGTCGATTGAGTTAACATGAATACCAATATGAGTATAATATTTCGCTTCAGTTGAAATTCGCTTGGTAGGAGGTAGTTCTTTGACAGAAGGAAGAGTAGAAGTTGGAGTGAATGGGATTTGGGGAACAATTTGCGATGATAATTGGAGTTTAAACAGCGCAACAGTCATTTGCAAAATGCTTGGTCTTTCCAACGCAAGCGCAGCTCCCGGAGACTCCAGCTTCGGCCAAGGGAACGGAAAAATATGGTTGGACCACGTAGATTGCACCGGAAGTGAGACGTCAATTATCGATTGTAGCCATTTAGGTCTGGGTGCCTCTAGCCAGTGTAAACATGATGAAGACGCTGGAGTAATTTGCGGAAATATTACTTGTGAGTATGCTTTAGGGACTATTTGCAAAAGGAGAGGACTAAATTTACAGATTTATATTAATTTTACTTGTGGGCATTCCGAGCTCATAGCAGCGGTTGGATCATGGCTGTACGCATTAAAAGCATTTAGTGTTTCGAATAGGAATAAATCTAATGCGACTCTTTTAAGATAAGCATCATAAAAGAAATTTAACGAAAACCGGATACCTTTCCATCATTCTTCTACCAGTGATTTACCACAATGGCATTAAAGGAAGAGCTAATTAAAAAAAAAATAACAGTGTAAGTACAAACTATTATGAAAGTTTTGATCTGTTATTAAAGAAAATCAGAGACGAAAGAGGGACGTTATTGAGGCTAACATAGGAAAAAAAATAAGTGGGAAAATTGAGGGATCCATAATTTAACCATGATTTATGTCAGCTTTTGAGGTTCGCCTGACGGAAGGCAGCTCACCAAATGAAGGCCGAGTAGAAATTTCCGTCAATGGAGTCTGGGGAACTGTATGTGACGATTTCTGGAGCATTGAAGACGCATATGTCGTGTGTCGCATGCTAGGACTTCCTCAGGCTACTGCAGCTACAAAGGGACAATCATTTGGGAAAGGCACAGGTCCAATATGGATGGATAATGTTCAATGCTTTGGAAATGAGAGCTCATTGCTGTATTGTAAAAGGGCAGATCTGGGAGTGAAAGATTGTGCACATCTGGAAGACTCGGGGGTTGTCTGTGGACCGCCATCAGGTATCTCTGCTACATATAGCACCTCTTTAATTCCAAAGGCTGTGTACATGGTAGAAAATAGGGTATGGGCCCGTCAAGAAAGGACTAAGCACTTTAATTTTTTCCAATGTTAACCCTTAACATCCCAACATCGGTATGCATCTCCTCCATACTATTCTTTATACATGTCCTGAGTTACTTACAAGGAGAATTGGTTTAACAATCAAGAGGTTCTTTAGTTGGTGATTATTTACTGCAGTCTCGTGACCACCATTTTTAATTCAGGGGTGATATCGTGAGGAGAAATTAGATGCTAGTCACTCTAACGGGGTCAAAAGGTTAGGAGACCTGTAGATGTAAAGGAACGACAGACCTTTGCGTGTGGATCATTTAGTGGCATTAGTCTACAAAGAATTCTGCCATTTACCTTCTGTGTAATGCTCCGTTGCGAATCGGAGAACAAAAGCCCGTATATTCATTTGCTTTTTGCTGCGTAGCATGCAAGGGTGAACACCTTTTTTCCCTGGTTTCTTCTCTCTCTGTCTTTTCCATTCATACTTTCTTTGAAATATTTTATTTTCAGTTAAAAAAAATAATATTGCATTGAACATGACCGTAAACCAGTCTAATCCAACGGCACAAGCTAATGCAGTCTATGCAGTTGATGGACTGTTCAACACATGCGTGGAGTTCAGTCAGGTAAAACCTACAACTCTGTTAGCATAAGAAAATTTTGGAAGGTCGCTTCATGCTATGGAAACAGGGATAAGTTAACTTTAACCATATATTTCATTTGGTTCTCAGGTAGTCGACAATTGGTTCCAGGTGGATTTATCCAAAAACTTCTTCATACATACTGTGCATGTCTTCCTTGGCTTAAAGAGTTTTCAAAAAGTTTTTGTGGACATCGGAATTGAAAGTAGTATGAATCACCCTGTGGATCATTCATGCAAAGAGACCAGTCCTTTCCCAAGAAAACATTTCCGTGTGTTCCGCTGCGTCCCTCCAGCCAATGGTCGTTTCGTAACAGCAACCATGATAACAGAAAACGTCAAGTTTGTGCTATGCGAAGTTGCAGTTTTTGCATTTGGTAAGTGTTTTGAAAGTAAAGAACTATATACCTTGCCTGACAAGTACGCTCTCCACTAAACAGTCAGCCCTTAGTGTTCGAAGGTAACGACAAAAATAATTGTTGTAAATCTCATTAATATTTCGACAGCGTGCAGCTCGGAATAGTGCAAAGTAATCAAGGAAAATGTTTAGAAGCATTTTTCGATTGTTATTATTTTCAGAAAATTCTCTGGAGTCCGCTGGAATTTTGAGGGAGGTGTGGTTTAAAGGTATTAATTCACAAGATGATCCTATTCTGAAGTACCATCCTGTTTTCAAGGAAGCTGCTGACACGTTGTCAGTGCTAAAAACTTTTCATGTTGTTACCAACTTTTCTACCACATATGGGCAGCGGTTGTCTACATTTATTCAGGTATAGTATACTTGTATAAATCCTTCGAAAGTACCTCTATCTGCGCCCAAAAGCAATATCATATTAACGCATATGACGTTTACTTTATTATCAGCCTAAAGACTCAGTCGCTTGAGTTGGGCGCATGGCATTCATTTCATTTCTGACATGAGC